TGAATGAGTGAATGAGTGAATGAGTGAATGAGTGAATGAGTGAATGAGTGAATGAGTGAATGAGTGAATGAGTGAATGAGTGAATGAGTGAATGAGTGAATGAGTGAATGAGTGAATGAGTGAATGAGTGAATGAGTGAATGAGTGAATGAGTGAATGAGTGAATGAGTGAATGAGTGAATGAGTGAATGAGTGAATGAGTGAATGAGTGAATGAGTGAATGAGTGAATGAATGAATGAATGAATGAATGAATATATGAATATAGCCCCAGGACACTCAAATTTCTTCATGGGACACAATCCATGGACTCCCTCACTCTCTGGGTTATTCTGGGAGACTTTTTTGTATATATTTTTCTTGAATTCAGAGAGGAAGGGAGAGAGAGAGAGAGAGAGAAACATCAATGATGAGAGAGAATCACTGACCCGCTGCCTCCTGCACACCACCCACTGGGGATGGAGCCTGCAACTCAGGCATGTGCCCTGACTGGGAATTGAACCTCCTAGTTTATCGGTCAATGCTCAACCATTAAGCCACGTGGGCCAGGCTGTTCTGGGAGACTTTTAAGAAAACTGGGAACACCCTTGTGACCATTGAGTGCTCAAGGACTCACTTCAATTGTGGGGTCTCTGGAGCTGATGAAACTATAGAAGGGAAAATGCACCCAGCCACACAGCTCTGGGACATGCAATGAAGGAATGAATGAATGAGTGAGTGAGTGAATGAATGAGTGAATGAGTGAATGAGTGAATGAGTGAATGAATGAATGAATGAATGAATGAATATATGAATATAGCCCCAGGACACTCAAATTTCTTCATGGGACACAATCCATGGACTCCCTCACTCTCTAGGTTATTATGGGAGACTTTTTTGTATATATTTTTCTTGAATTCAGAGAGGAAGGGAGAGAGAGAGAGAGAGAGAAACATCAATGATGAGAGAGAATCACTGACCCGCTGCTCTGACCACACAGAGGGTGCTTTCAGTCTTGTCACTTGAAACAAGACTGGGACCCCTGCCGACACCACGCCTGTGATTCCCAGCCTCAGTGAGAACCGCTTGTCCCTGGACGCTGTGTTCAGTTTGGCCCAGTGTTTCTCTGCGGTGCCGTGGGTCCTCCAGCTGGACATCAGGTGAGTGAGCCTCAGGGCCCCGCCTGCCGCCTTGTCTGCATTCACCACAGGCATCCTCAGGGCCCGCGGGGTCCCCGGGTCAGTGTGTGTGGGATGGGTGCCTGCTGAAGGAATGAATGAGTGAATGAATGAATGAATGAATGAGTGAATGAATGAATGAATATAGCCCCAGGACACTCAAATTTCTCCATGGGACACAATCCATGGACTCCCTCACTCTCTGGGTTATTCTGGGAGACTTTTTTGTATATATTTTTCTTGAATTCAGAGAGGAAGGGAGAGAGAGAGACAGATAGAAACATCAATGATGAGAGAGAATCACTGACCCGCTGCCTCCTGCACACCCCCCACTGGGGATGGAGCCCACAACTCAGGCATGTGCCCTGACTGGGAATTGAACCTCCTAGTTTATCGGTCAATGCTCAACCATTAAGCCATGTGGGCCAGGCCGTTCTGGGAGACTTTTGAGAAAACTGGGAACACCCTAGTGACCATTGAGTGCTCAGGGACTCACTTTAATTGTGGGGTCTCTGGAGCTGATGAAACTATAGAAGGGAAAATGCACCCAGCCACACAGCTCTGGGACATGCAATGTAGATCATGCATGCTTCCTTGAAAGGCCTGCCCATCCCTCCCCTCCCCCTCCCAAGAGTGGGCAGTGTGAGAGCAGACAGACCAGCTTCAAATCCAGGCTCACCAGTTCCCTGCTGTACAGCTTCCAGCAGGTCACTGAGCCTCTCCACGCCTCAGTTTCCTCATCTGTAAAATGGGGTAAGAATACTTCTTTACCTCACAGTTTTCACATGAGACTCAACGGAGATCATGTGGCTGGTGTGCTTTGTATGTGCCTTAATACATGCAGCGGTTGTCATATAGTTACTGTGATATTCGCTGAGAAAGAGGTGGGTTTCCCTCCAGGCCCCCCTTAACCTGGTCAGTCTGCTCTCGTGCCCTTGACCTGGTCAGCGGGCCCTTCGCCTGGTCTCTGATTGCTGCCTCCCTTCTGCCTGCAGCTTCGAGAGCCAGCACGTGGTCCTGAGAGGCGGCAGAAGAGCCAGGTGAGGGCGGAGAGCTCCCAGGGTGAGGCGGGCTCCCCTTTCCCTCTGCTCCCCATTTCCGGGAGGAGCCCCCCACCCCAGACCCATGCGGACCACTGTCAGCTCTAAAGTAAACCCCCTCCATATGAATTTGCAGGAATCCGCTGCCTTCACCCTCTCTTGGAAGAAGCCGGCGCAGAGGGAGGGAGGGGACGCTGGGTGGCAGGCACCAGAGTGGAGCCGGGCTGGCAGCTGCCGCTGCGGGGGAGGGGAGAAGGAAGCGTCTGGGGGACTTTTGCAGCCTCTGCAGACTCACAGTGTCTTATGAGTCACTGCCCTTTCACACCCTGAGGAGCTAGGAGCGCATCTGAGAAGCCAAGAGCCGTTGGTGCTCTGAAAGTTTCCATGTCTTTGCTGTAAACAAAGAGCAATAGTGACTTCTCACAGGTGCTCCCGGCTGCCCCCTGGTGGGCACCGCGGTCTCACTGGGCAGGTTGGAAAGCACCAGAGCCACCTGATGCGGGCGTCTGGGCTGGTGTGGCAGGCAGCAGCGTCCCCTCCCCAGGTGGCTTCTGAAACCAGGGCTGGCCCCGGTCTAGGGTCTCTATTTCTGGGGACCCTCTGGGTTTTTGAGGCCCAAAGTGTGGAGGCACAGGGAGACGAGTCATGTGACGGCCACGTCTGTGATCAGAGCGAGGACAGGCTCTGTCCTGGCTCCCCCTAACTTGTCGGGGGCCGCCCCCGTGGACAGGTGGGCCTCAGTTTCCCCATCTGTACAGTGAGGGGGTTGATTGTCCTGAGAGCCCCTCCCTGCCCTGACTGACGAGTCTGAGCTTCTAATGTGGATGATTGAAACTTTCCTCTCAAAACGTTTCCCCACCCAAGGCATCTGCTGGCCCGCAGCCCTCCGCCAGAGTCCCCCGCCCAAGCCCAGTCCTCGGGGTTCGGTCAGCGCTGCGTCCCCAGGAGCTTCTGGTACCTTCTTACCCACTTCTTGTTTGGGGGTAACCACAGTGGAGAGAGGGCTCAAGGAGTGAGGAGAGCCTGGGGGGTCAGGCTGGGGACTGGGAGAGAGGAGAAAGGGAATTTGAGAGAAGGGGAGAGAGAGGGTGAGTGTGAGGACTGGTGATGGGGCTGTGGGCCCCGAACTCCAACCCCACACTGATTTCTCTGCAGGCTTCCCAGCTCCCCCACGAGCGGCTGTGGGACCTGGCGGGCCCCTCCCTCTCCTGGCCTCGATTTCTTTTCTTTGTTTTTAAATATATTTTTATTGATTTCAGAGAGGAAGGGAGAGGGGATAGAGAGAAACATCAATGATGAGAGAGAATCATGGGCTGGCTGCCTCCTGCACGTCCCCTACTGGGGATTGAGCCGGCAACCCTGGCCAGGGAATCAAACCGTGACCTCCTGGTTTTTAGGTTGATGTGCAACCTCTGAGCCATGTTGGCCAGGCCTGGCCTCATTTTCCTCACATAAGAAGAGACACCCTGAGGTGGGGCTGAACAGGGTTGTCCCGCGAAGAGGGAGGGTGTCCAGGTGGCCGGCCAGCTGCACAGAGGCCCCGAGGAGGGAAAGCTGGGCTCGTGGGCAGCATTTCAGTGTGGCCACAGCATAGACAGGGAGCGGGGAAGCGAGTGAGGTGTTGGGGGAGGGGGGCAGGGGAAGGCTCTTTGCTTTTAGCCTAAGCGTAATGGGGAGCCACAGAGGGTTTCAGCACGGGGTGCAGAGCGGTGGCGTTGGCTGGTCAGGTTTGCACTGCTCAAGCATAGGACGCTGGCAGGGGGAAGAAGGATGGATGGGAGGCAAGCGGGGAGGCCGGGGGTGGTAAGTGGACTAGGTGAGTGGTGGTGGCCAGTGGAGAGCACAGAGGGGCTGGAGAGGGCAGCTGCGCGCTCAGAGGGTCAGAGTGGTGGGGATGGGGGGCTCTGGGAGACTTGGGGGTGGAGAGCGTACCCTGTGGGGGAGGAGCCTGCAGTCTGGGGAGGAGC